GTTTTCTGGCTTTATGATTTTCAAAGTTCCTTTTAAATTTTTCTACCCTCTAGTTGAATTCCTTTCCACAGAATGTTTTCCAAGAAGGAGGAGGGAGGACAGAAGGGCAGCAAAGTGATAAAGGCATATAAAACGCTCAAATTCTTGAAACGTCTAAGGAATACATATGTGCTTTATCTCCAACATCTGTAATAGCCATCTGGTTTAAAACAAGCAACTGCAAGATTTTCTGATGAAAGCGCGATTTTCATGTTTGTGCTCTCTCTTTCAGTAGATATAATATTTTCTATGATTACGACCTGCACTGAAGGTGATGGGAAAGCTGTTATTTCCTCCGGGCTGTCAGTTCCTCGTACTCTCTGTGACTCAGGACAGGGTACCCAGAGCTTCCCCAGCCAGACACTCAGCGGGGCAAGGAAGACGACCTTTTCCTGGCAGTAGGAGCTTCACGAACTTTTCTCTGCGTTTGGGCTACTGCCAGGTGGCCACACATGTTATTTACGTGCCAGTTTGCCCACGGTAAGTTGCTTGTTTGGCTCGGCACTGTGGACCATGAGGTGAACGCAGGGAACACTTAATCTGCAAAAATGGAACAAGAGGTTGGAGGAAGCCGAGATTTTATTTCTGAAGGTTGGTACACTTGGGACTTCAAAGCCCAAGAGCGTTTTTGTTTTGTACTGCAAATGTGGAACAGTTTAGCGTAACATAGTTAAGTTCTTCAAGCGCTGCCTGGTAATGTTACTCTAAATAGCCTGCAATCCGACTGGCCGGAGCAGAGAGTTATTCCTTCCAGGTGCATGCCTGTATAAAAACCTCTGGAGCATGCATCCGCCCACAGGAACCTTCCAGTGCCCTCTGTCACAGCAGGTACCCACACAGCAGTCCGGCTAACCTCGTCTGACATGCCTTTGCGTTCTCTGCTAACTAACTAAGGAAATATGTTTGTCTGAATTCTTATGTTTCAGGTCAGCTGTGTTAGCCAACGAAATCCAGCTTACCTAACCACTACTATTTCGTGAGGAGTGACTATCGTTGCTGCATTTCAGTATTCGGATACATTTACCTTGTGGACTCAAATATTACATAGGTTTACTATAGTGATGTTCCTAGCACTGACATTTCCTTTGTTTCCTAGCATTTATGTTAATCTTTCCTTTTTTTTTTTAATTTAGTGCATGATAACATGAGAAAATTGCGTAAGCGCGGATGTTTGTGTATGGTATGAGCGTATGGCTAAGCCCTATCTTGCATAAAACACGCTGCAATTGCATTTCCCGTGTGAGCAAATGGAATTGGCTTTTGCCCAAATAGTCTTACAATTACAGACTATTATATACGATACAGATATGATATAATTATAGAATTATATATGATAGATATAGCATAGAATTATGCTGTGCAAGTTTGTGCAGAGGTGAGAGAAACACATTTCAGCAGAGTTGTGTTTACAGCTGAAGACCCAGTGACACAGTACCGCTTACTAACCTACTTTTTTTTGGCCATGTAGCTAGATTTGAAAAGCTCTTTCCAAGCAATGGATTTTGGAAGAGGCACAGAGTTTATTCTTATAGGGGATAAACTGTTAACTTAAGGTTTATCACCATCTTACAATTTGCCCCTCAGTATTTAATTACCTTGTTAATTTTAAGTGGCATTGTCAAATAGATATAATTTTGTTAATTACTCTTTCTTCCTTAGGTTCTGAAGAAATCAAATGCGCTTTTTTAAGTTATTTTTTTCACAACAGTTTAAGACTATTAATGAAGTCAATACTGGTTTAAGAACTTTGGAAAGCACAGAATTTAGATGATTATTACACATCAGGATCATTTTGGAAAGAAATCGGCTGCTAACATTCAGAAAGAGCCAACATTTTCTAAGGGAACAGATTTTGGTTGCAATATTATTAAATCAAAATTATTTTAGAGATATAATTTTCAGTAAAATATGGATCAGAAAAATGTCAAAATAGTAAGAAATGTCAGTTTTTACAGTTCTAGAAGCACAGCAGCAACCTGACCATATTACACAGAGGGCATGTAATAATGCAAATGTCACCTATTTGCAAATAGCTTACTCCATATTCACTTGTGTCTGTAGTATTGAGGTACAGTTTGTCACTTAAAATGATAAAGCTGTGCATCGTTAAGGTCAAGATGCTAATGTACTTGACTTCTTGAAATTATGAGACTAAATCTCTCCTGTAGTTTGCAGCTAAAAAAAGCCTTACTTTTTAACTCCATTTTATGAAATACATCATTTAATAGTTATGGCAGTGGGATATAGATAGATATATACCCTTTTCTGTTTAGCAAAACCTACACCTATGAAAATATGCTCATATTATCATAGCATCTAGAAGGCCCAGCCATAAACCAGAGCCCAGTGTGTTATGTGACATACAAATGCCGAGTGCATTATCTTTATCCCCCCCAATTCACCATCTAAGAGCTCGGGCAACGGATGGACTTCAGGACCACACCAGTCTCACCACAGTACCAGTGTAACCACTAGATGTTTTTTAGACCTCCCGATCATTTTAAGAAGGGATTTAATAAAAACAGCAAAGCGTCTTTATAAATATTTAAGCAGACTCCTATTTTAGAGGAGCTCAAAGGACAAAACTGGAGCAAGCATAACAATTTTTAATTTGAAAATGTAATATAACATATTTAATTGAATCTAGAATGCAGTCTGTACTGAATGAATGATAGTAGAGTATATATATCATGATCAGAGATGCAACTGTATTTGCTGCAAGTATTTAACAGTGGATGAACAAATATGTATTTATTAAACATGTTTCCAAGCTATTTTCTAATATTCACTGCTACCCATAGCCAACTGAAATTTTGACCTCTTGCAATAAGAACTTGTCTAAGCAAGGAAAAAAAAAAGTACAGAAGGATCACTTTCTAGCCAGACTGACAAATTAAACCATTTACTCATTAAACAAGCCCTTCTGGTTTTCACATTAAAGAGTACCGGACAAGGCAAAGTTTCCTCCTGCTTTGTAATTTCAGGACTGGCTTTTCACTTAAATAGCACAAATCTCATGTGACAAGAACCTTACCAAAACCCCCCAAAATCCCTCCCAAAACCCTCAAATTTGAAAATATAGTGCTTTGCATGTTTAAACATGAAACGTACAGAAGACTGAGTCTTCAAGCAAGCATTTTCCGGCTGTAGCCATCACCGGTTCTGACAGATCCTTCTCTCTTCATTACGCACCTTCCCAATTACACAAGTCTTAGTATATTTTCCCATAGGTTTCTTAAAACAATAAAACATGACCAGATTTTAATCTAGCTCAAAGTATGAAAAAGAGGCATTGCTGAAAATTGGAAGTACAAGTCTGATTACCTGAGAAGCCTTTGCTGTTGTAAGGCACACTTTCAGGTGTGAAATGTGAACATGGATGCATTCACTCATGTGTCAGGGAATGCAGTAACTACAGCATTAACTTCAGTCTCTTACCTAACAACATCATATCTTGAAATATACACAAAAGTGCACAGCCAGAACATGTTACTAGCTAGATGGAGGCTCACTGAGGAAAATATAAATAAAAAAAATACATCTGCAGAAATCAATTTACTTTAAAGCACTCTCTTTTCTGAAACAGTACAAAATCACTGCCATGACTGAACGAATGCAGTGTCAGAGGAGTTAGAACAAATCCTGTCCTTGTGAATAAACAGAGCAGCAATAAGGAATATATCAGGTATCACTAAAACTGCACCGGTGTCAGTATCATGTGTGCAAATAAACCACCCACACAAGTCAGCAGTCACTCTGCTCCTTAAAAAACTACCTGCAGGCACTGCTGAACCTCCTGGCTGCTGCCAAACCTCTCCCCCTTCTGGCCAGGATATCTAGAACAGCCTCCTGCAGTATGCTGCAACCCAAATTACGCAACACTTTGCAGTGCGTATGGCTGGAGAGAGAACAAAGAAATATGCATTCTCAAGAACGAGCAAAATAAGGCCAATCATGGATAAAAACATAGCACGCTCCAGCCGTCACGATAGGTGGAAAGGGTGAACTTGTACAGTCCCTGGCTAGAGCAAGTTACGAACCATTTTTTTTTCTCTTTAAACATATATATGTGTGTGTGTGTATATATATATCTACACACACACATGGATACGCATATACTATCATTCAGTGCTATCACTGAAGAAAACTAGTTAAGCAAAAGGTTTCACTGGAACATTTCTCCTCAGGCAAATTTAGATCCAGTCCTACTCCTGCTTTTACTGGTATCGAGCAGTTCCTGCCTATGTTGGGTGCTGCCCTGTACACTGAAAATGCACAGTCATTTATAACACAGAGTTTTCCAAAAAAGCTTACCGATTCAAACTTCTCACTGCAATTATTTCCTGACTGCAATCTGCATACCCTGCAGTTCACTACATTTCAGGGCAATTCAGTTAGCTGTTCCGCAGGAAAAGGCAGAGAAGAGAAGGCAACTTGCATACAAGGAGACAAAATCAAGAGCACTGGCTGCAGCAAATTAACCAGTTTTATCATACGAATGCCAAGTCCCAAGTTCTTTGGGACATAGTAAATTACACAGATAAAAAGTCATAGACATTAAAAGACAGTTCATCTTTCTCAGCTGTTGCTTCAACTGATAGGAGTAAGCAAGCAGCTCACTTTTCAGACTGATTCTTGGCATCGGTTCAGTGACATAATGCTAAGATTTTGCATAAATGATAAAACAAACATGGTAAAATAATAAACATGATAAGCATGATAAAATAAAAACTCTGATAGTATTACTGCATTACCAGAAAGTGCTCACAGCAATTTCCAGTGGAGTGGGGAATGTCACCTCACATCATGGCTTCCTGTCCCGTCAACCCATCATTGAAAAACCCCAAAATCAAAGCCCACCCAAACTACTCACTGTCTTCTTCCAGTCATACCTCATGCAACAAGAGTGCCCGCAAGCTTTTACAACATTATTTTTCCCCTTCCATTTCAGCTCTTTTGCCATGATCTCGGCACAGCAGCCACCGTTCCCCAACAAAATTCAAAAAGTAATGGACGTCCAAACTGAGGAAGAAGAAACTTGTGAAGAGCAGTGTGACTCTGAAAACTGTACTTGCAGCTCCAAGCATGCATCATCAACAGCAGAACCGGGCTCAGGTTTAACCCAATTTAAATACTGCAATTGCTATGGCATGCTAGCATTTCAAACTTTCATTTTTCTCAGTCTTCAAATAGTAGAAGTCACTGTGTGACTTTTCCTTTTGATCTCTATTTTTTACCCACCATTTCCCCTTATGTTTGTATTTATTATCAGATTAAATCTACAAAAAAGACTATCTCCACAATTAAGATGCATGCTTAAAAAGGTCTCTGGATTTTATTTAGACATCTAAGAATTATTTCTCAATTACAATCAGAGATACAATTATAATATACATTAATTGGGCTGGCATTGTAGAAGCTGTGGTATTACAAGTTTCAACAGGCTAAACTGCTCAAACACCTCCCAAGGATTCCAGGCAGGCATCAATTAAAATCCACGCAAGCCAGAGCAAAATTTTTCTTTGCAGTTAAAAGTTAATTTTCTATCATCTATGCATATCCTGCTAGCAGGCTTCCAACAACAGTACGCTCATTCAGAAAAGCGTCCTTATTGTCAGTGAGATCAGATGAAGCAGTTCGGCAGAGCTCTCCTGAAAAATCTCACCTACAAGCCTACTCACTATGATGAGACATGCTAGCAAGGACAACTGTAGTACTGACTCACTGAACAGCACTGTAGCTGTCAACATAAAGAGTATCTTACAACCCTCTTTTTGTGGAAGAATGGTTAAAAAATAACCACTAAAAAGAGCTAGGTTTTCGTCAGTGTAGGAGGTAAATCCTAAATTCTTTTGTAAAAAGCTTAATGTTCTAGATCTGTTGGCCCCACAAATGAGAACTACACCAGCAACACCTACATGGCATACTTTGGCATAGTATGAACTATGGCATACCCCAAAATACAACCTACCTAGGTCCTGAAAGTCTTCTAGCTGTCATTAGCAGAGTTATATATTTGAATCAGTAGATTTTTCTAAAAGGCTCATTTCTATCTGTAAATTGCTCATGCAAACACTCAGAGCGGCAGGAAACGAGCACTGCTCCTTTCACTCCCTGGCCAGCCAGACTGTCCGCTTCTGGACAGCAACTAGTCTCAAGGCCAACGGCCTGACCGCTTTTCTAGTCTGTATGTCTACAGACTATTTTCACAAAATACTTTTTACCCTTTAAAAAACTGCATATAAACACCTGCATATAAAAATACAAATTTCATCTTTTCTCTCACAGATTCACCAGTAACTCTTAAAATACTGCAGAACTGGGTGCCTAGAGTTTCGCCCTACTTTGATAAAGAGCACTACACGTACGTTGGCCACCAGATCGTCATTCAGGAGTCCATAGAACACTTTGGAGCCGTCGTATGGCCGGGGGTAAGTACGTGATACGGCAACCCAGCAAAGGTTTCCCTATGCAGAACAAAGTCGGGAAGTACTTCAGCAGAAAGCTCTGCCTCATGCTAATTTGCCAGTTCACGCCAAAAGAACTGTGGCACCTAAGTGTAAATTGGATGCAAATATTGAAAAAAATTAAGAAAGGGAACCCGAGAAGAAGTGTTCAGCTTCCTCCATGTTTCCAATCAGTCACTGCTGGGAAGTAAACAAATCAGCAGTACAAAAAGGAGGCTGAAAAAGAAAATAGTGGGAGATTAAATAAAGGAAGTTAAAACAATTAAATATGCTTCTTTTAAAGACCAGGCTGGAACAGTTCCATTGCAGTATGGAAAACCATACTTGCAAACAGTTCTTCAGTCTTTGCTTCTCCCGCTCTTAAAAACAGAGTTTTATGTGGACTGAGAAAACTGCCTTTGAGGGAAGACAGGATCAACTGATAGGCATGCAAATCAGGATTTCAAAAATTTTCAGATCCACATTTATTGAAAAAGCTCACAGAAAATGGCAGACAATTTCAAAACAATAGAGAAAGAGTACGGGTGGGTGAAACAGTATCTTATTTTGAAATGTCAGATCATCAGTTCTCACATTAATCAGGTGTCAGAATGCAGACAGTAAAACTTTCCAAGAAAATCAAGAGGTTGCACAAATTGGACTGGTGATTCATTAGCTGTCAGGTTTCCCAGAGCAGGTAGCCAGTGTTGCATTATGAAAAGCACAAGAGTTAAAACAGTAACAGTAACACAATTCTAAAGAAGAGAAGCAAAAGGGGGAAGTTAATTTCTTTGGCATCGGTTTATGATGTTTATAAACAGCTGATTTATGTCCTACTGATAAGACCTTTACAAAAGTCTAATAAGGAATACTTCCATACAGTGCTGCTGGTTATTTTTTTTTTTTCTTTAAAGTTTACACTATTATCAACAGACAAGTGTGTTGTGTTGGTAAATAACAAATTTTTAATATTTCCTTTGCAAAAAAAATTAAAACAAACAAAAAAATCTGTTTTCAAAAAAATATTCACTGAAGCCTAAGTCTACTTTGTGATAGTGATAATAAACCATAACATTTGTGATAATAAACCAGAACATTACTTTTTACATATTGTTAAACCTCATTTGTTGTTCTGACTGTATGGTTCACATCCAAACACTGCCTACCTTGAGCTGTCAGAGGACTCACAGTGTATAAAAGTGTGTAGCAAATCCACATCCCATAAACCTAAAACTAAAAATAAGCTGTTTAACATTTTTTTATTATAAAAAACAGGACACATCATAATTCTTTCCATATTACATTTTTATGTTACAGCCTTCAGTGTTTTCCACTGTATATATAAAAAAAAATAACCTGTATAAAAACATCTAATGAATTTTTGTGCAACTTACCTGTTACTCTCTTATGGATATGTGTTAACTGTTTTAGGCACTGGCTTTATCTCAATATCTGGAATCAAATCAAGAACAATTCAACCTCAAAGACAAAAAAGTTTTGGAAATCGGCGCTGGAACAGGCTTGGTTTCCATTGTGGCCTGTATCTTAGGTTAGTAAATTCATATTTCCTTTTGGATTTCTTGTGAAAGGTGATCTAGATCTGCCACTGTCACTTCAAGGCAGTGAAGCAACAGTTGAAGCAAACCTTGTTTGTCACTGCCTTTTTTTAAAATGAAAATTATTGTAAAATACTGTTTTGTTAATAAAGTAACTACCCTAGTTATTGGTGAACGGGAAGCTAGGGGAGTTAGGAAGATAAAGGTTTTTTTAATATATCATATATATATATATATATCATATTTTTTATATATCATATTCTATGATTATAGAGATATATATATATAATCATAGAATTTTGGGGGTTGGAAGGGACCTTAAAGATCATCTAGTTCCAGTCCCCCTGCCATGGGTGGGTATGTTCAACTACATACCTATGAACTGAAACAAATCCATGTTTTCTTTAGGAGCTTACGTTACAGCTACTGATTTGCCTGAAGTTCTTGAAAATCTTTCATATAATATTTCAAGAAATACACAAAACATGAATATGCACAAACCTGAAGTGAGAAAACTGGTATGGGGAGAAGGCCTCAATGAAGACTTTCCTGTATCAACTTACCATTATGATTTCATACTGGCAACTGATGTTGTATACCATCATGCAGCTTTGGACCAGCTGTTAGCAACAATGGTGTATTTTTGTAAGCCAGGAACAGTATTACTATGGGCAAATAAATTCAGATTCACTACAGACTATGAATTTTTGGAAAAACTTGGCAATATATTTAACACAACTATTCTAGCAGAATTTCCAGAATCAAATGTCAAGCTGCTTAAAGCCACAGTAAGAGAGAATTAAAGAGAAAACTACTACTAATTTTGATTTAGTGGCAGCACCTTACGGTTTGGAATGTTTTGCAGCATTACAGTGCACCTTCTGTGCATTTATGTTTGTAAAGTTGCAGTTGTATCTGAGTTTTGCATTACAAGTTATGAAAAAACTGGCAAGACAAATGAAATAACAGTTTGTCTCTGGCTGATACATATGACCTGTTCAAACAGACCAATTTCACGCCACTGAAGGAACAATGTTAGTAACAATAGTTAGTAAAAAGGCTTTATCAGAAAGCACTGATCTTCTGAGCTGCACTGAACTTCTGTTTTGTAAGGTGTTTTCCTTCAGCAAGTTTCATTTATGTATCTTTCAGAAAACAATACAATTTTTAGCTTCGTTATATTCTTTTTTTTAATTATAAAATAATCTTTTAAAATATCAGAGTGCACGTGGTGGTTTTTGATCTTCAACTTTGCACATTTATTCTGTTGTGTTTTACATTTTTAACATTATTAAACATATATGTATAGCTTTACAATACCTGATTGAGATTTAACTGTCTGGCACTTTTATACATGTATCAGCCTGTCCTGATACTCAACTTCATATGGATTTTTGAGTTTGCCTGAAATCACTCCAAAATGAAGATTTACAAGAGCACCTATGCATCAGCAATTCCAAGTTACACATTATAACAGTTTGAGAGGTTGAATTTTTCTTAAAAAAAAAAAATTAAATGTAAACTCTTGCAAACAATACAGGTAATGATGTCCCGTTACTTTAATCTAATAAATAAGATTTTAGCTACTCCTGAAGTAGCTTTAAGGCCTTCATACAATTGAAATTAAGATCAAACATGTTAAAATTCAGTTTACTGTAAAAAATACAGAGCTTTTACAGGTTTGCAGTTAAAAGTAACAGTTAAGAACCTAACATGCATGCAGTAAGCCTTTCCAGCCTAATTCCAAATCCTTGGTGTTGGCAGTTCTGACACATCCATTGCCAGCAATGGGATGCACAATAAGGAAACTCCCTGATGACAGGAGTTAGGTTAACAGGTATTAAGCTGTACCCAGGTGCCTTTACTGATAAATACACACAATTTAATAATCAGCATTCAGTAATGAAAACATGCGTTCCAATAAAAAGTCAAACTTATCTTTTCATATTCTGCCCCATATAAAATCACTTTAAGTTTACAATTGTTGGTTTTCTAGAATACACAATAATCAGGTGGATACATGACAGGAAGCCAGTTTTCAGTGAAAGTTGCACAATGAGTCCATCCAAGCAATTTCATGAGCTGAAATAAGAAAGCAAACATAAAAAAAATAAGAGACGCTGTAGAGTCTTATTCTTTTAAAAATCTAAATCCTTCCAATAAACAATGCATTGACATCAACATCTTACTAAAGATGTCTGTTATCAGAAAGATAACAGATTGGAGAACTGGTGGTCTTTGAATTACTTAGTCCTGAAAGGGGAAAAAGAAAACCATTCTATATGATCTATAGTCTTTCAACTCAATGCACAAAAATTTTGTCCTAGGAGTTACAGTAATTCCCATTAATTCTCCACCTATATTCTACTAGCAATAACTGTGATTAATAACAGTAAACATAACAGTGGTTAAACAGCAACATAAAGGGATTTTAAATATGCAGAAGATCTCTGGCTAAGTTGTCTCTACTTTCTTTATGCCCTGAAGTAAGTTCCAGAAAGTAAATCTGCTAAAAGTGACAGTTACTCACAAACTAGCTATTCTAGAAAAAGAAAGAAGAAATCACTACTAAAAATGGAGGCCAAGTCACAAAAGCCTGGATAAAGTTAAAATGTTTAGTGAGTTCTACAATGTAAAAGGTATCAAAAATTCAAGACGACTTAGATCTTACTTTTATAAGCTTACTCAGCATGAACATAGCCCGTTACTTTACCAAACACACCTTACCTGAATGCAGTTTTTTAAGTTGTCCTTTGTTGGCTTCTCTTCTGCAAGTTTTGTGGCAAACTTGAGACCTCTCCCATACATTTTATTTACCAATGCGTGCTTATAGGCAAAAGTCAAAACCTACAATGTGAAAACAACAACAAATTAGATATTTTAATATTTTAATCTTACCAGGCTTAACAAGTAACAGATTCTGTTCAGGCAGCAGAAGTGATTTAAACGAAGTAAAACATTTACACAAGATAGCTTGCATTTTTCTTTGCGGTAAAACAGATGATTCACGGTAGTAGTTATAAACATGAACTTCCTAGAGACTATTTCTGAATTCATGAACATATTTGACTTCAGAACATCTTACGCAACACAGATGTCACTATTCTATTTTTTTATTCATCACATTTCTAGCTTCTTTGGATTTTCATTCTCTAGAGGCAACTGTATGGTATTAAAAAAAAAAAAAATAAAAAAACCAAATCAAGAACCAGGCAGGTATATCTTTGACCCACAGAAACAAAGACCCAGTTGAGAGTTTTGATTCCTAGGAAGTCACAAACTTATTGCAGAAACAAGTATGAACGTACATAGTGAATGATACATATACACACACACACAGACAAATGCACATAATTATAAACAAGCAATGAAGACAGGTAAGCATGAAGACAAGCTTCAAGTTTTGGGTCAGCTCCTCACTATCGGTAATTTATTAAGAAGAGATTATAAAAAAAGCTTCCTCTTGGTAATGCTAATTCTAAAGAGTCAGCCTACAATACTTGTCAATACTATAACTAACATGCGCAAATGAATGTTTCTACTTAAGAGCTAATATAAAATAAATCAGGTTCTTAACACCCAAACACTGACAGCATTCAGAGTGTTGCAAGATAGTTCATACCATTTCACTAGTTACAGCACTAAGAATTACTGCAATCGAGACACTGTTTCATATATTCCCTTTGGAACACTTAGAGTAAACAGTTTTGTTTTGTTTTTAATTTTTTACTGAAGAGTGACGTAGCAGCAAAGTTGGGTGAATATGGTGGTATTTCAGTTGTTGGCAAAGTTTATGAAATCTTGTATTGGAGTTTGCTGTTCATTTCCCCTCACTCATTACAATATTTTTCCTTTCCTTTCCTCTGACTCCTCCAACAAAGTTACATTTTCCCAATGTCTACTTAAAATATGCCATTAAGAAAAGCTAACAAAACCCCTTCAAGGATGTTCAGAAATACTTTGCATTACAGAAAAAAAAAAAATTAAGTATTTCTTAAGAACATAAACATTAAGGAATCCAAGATCAAAATCCTGCAAGGACTGAAGAACCTTCCTAATTTTAGCTACCTGAAAACTTCCACTGAATGTTAATCACATGCACAAATCTTTGCAGGATCAATACTTAAAAGATTGAGCTAAAAAGAAATAACAAGCTTAATTATCAAGCAAGTAAAGGTTTAATTTTGAAGCTCTAAAGTATATGCCAAGCACTCAGAGTTGCTCATTATTCTTCTGTCTTCAAGTACTTATTCTCTGTTGTGTTGAAGTATTCACTTAAGCTGTTGTAGCTTAAAACACACACATATACGCAACAATGAGCATACAGCACCATTCACATACAGATTTTCCAAATATTGGTATTGGAAAAATACTTTGCATGCTGCATTCTCAATCCAATTATTTTGGATATTTTCCTAAAGCAAGACAACATTAGCAAACACTTCTGAATAACTGCTCCGTGGATCCATTAGCAGATTTAATTGATTAAACTAAAAAAAAAAAATCCCTTCTGTAAAAGATGATAGAACCACAAAACAAAACCAAACCAAACAAAAAAAAAATCAAATGAAAAATGCATTGGAGCTCTCAGCAAATATAACATATCGGAGGCTAACCAGAAATAATGTCACTGCTCTATTAAGAAAGCTCTTACCTGACCCTGTAAGTTTTGAATGGTTATTGAACATCAGTGATAAAGGCAGGAGGAAAACCACTTGACAGCATTTCTTTCGTAACAGGGCTTCCTAGAGTTTTTGTGGCAAGAAAACAAAGCATTTTACGAAACACCCTTGCTCTGGCCAAATAAAAGTTTGGGTATTTCTAAATGAGAAAAAAGTTCTCTGCTGGACCAAAAGGCTGAAAACAATGCTCCAAGAGCTCTTGATAAAAGACAATCATCTCTGTCTTAGTGCTTGGAAAAAAAACCCAATCAACTGTATACAAATTAAGTAAAACTAGTAGAAGTTCATTAGCACTTCAAAAGTTAAGAATAATGCATGAGATGCTTTAAAATCAGAATAGGTTTACAAACAAAAAATGTTCGATAAGAAATAATACTTTAACTTGTACATATATTTGGTCAAATTAAGCCTTATAATTAAAATATTGCAAGCTTTACAAGATCACAGAAATGAAGATTATGATTCCTTGATATGTGTAAACAAAATGTAAACTGGAGTGCTATTAAAATGTAACAAACAGCTGCTATCTGAATGTGTAACAACAGCAAATAAACCAATATGTAGTATCTAAAAGCAGTTGCTAGACGACATAATAGGAATGAATTCTAAGTATGTGATAATACTTCATAATTTCAATAAATATAATTAAGGCTAGCTTTTACAGAACAAGTGATAATGGCCCAGAAATTGGCTAAAGAGCAATAAACAAAGGGTAATAAGAAAAGGCAATGCATTCTTCTAGTATACTGGAGGGGGAAATCACTGCTAGATACTTTATTCCCCAAGCTAATATCCTGTAACACAAAGTGGGCTAAAAGCCAGACCCATGGAAGTGGTTGGATATCCATCTGCTAATTAGCTGCCTAACTTGCCATTGGCTACATAAAGATGCATACTTAGGACAGTAAAATGCTGAAATGATCTCTCCCAAGACATCTGCAGGGCTAAAGTATTTAAAAGCCTGAAAACAACCTTTAAAAAACACTTTTTTAATCCAGCAACACTAAACTACCTAATAAAACTTTTCTAGTATCCTTATACTGTTACCTATGAAAACGAAAACAGACTTGTATATCAGTTCTTTCATTATTTAAACATTTGATTTAAATGTATCTATATTTACAAATAATTAAAATACT